ATTTAGCTAGATTTAATAGAGGAATAAGACTTCTTGCCCTATTGAAAATTTCTATTCTTTTAAAATCATTTAATGCATAATTTTTTTGTATTGTCCTAATATTTCTGACGCTTTTCATTTGAATCTGCTTGAAACAAACCTCCATAGTGCAATTTTTCTCATTTAAAACAAAAGAGAATTTTTCCTTTTCATGAATTTTGCATTCGAATGTTCAAATTCAAAAAACAATATTCGAATATTCAACAATCGATCCAATATTCGGATATTTGGCACAGCCCTAGTTCTGATTTCCATAAAAAAGGGGGAAAAAGTCTTGGCAAAAGAGGGCACCATTTGCAGAAAAAAGAGGGTGCTATTTCCTTTGCTGGAAAGTCAGTTGTTACACATACATACGTGTGTATTCTTGTTCGTGTAAAACAGATCTTCTCTTGTGCAGCTGCTTGTTTTGCTGTGGGCTCATAACATGGCCATTCCAATTTTGGACTTTATTGACATCTCAACTTTTGAGTCACTGTCGTCAGTCCTAAATGTTTTTCTTTAAATCAAATTTGTGATGTTCAGTAAAAGTGCACAGAAAATTTGGGAGCCAAGAGGCATGTTTCATATACCGAATTGTTCAGTATAGTGACGTTGTGCTGTACTTGCATCCAAATTATTCATGACTTCAGAGGGTACTCTGTAAATTGAATAGACAATTGGTCAGTTTGCTTTTGAAGAAAGACTATAGTTTGCCTGTAATTTGTTTCTTTTCATTGTAACACATTGGTTCATATTCATGCACATTTAAAAACATTCATGTTTACATTTAACTTATCAAGATGCTATACATGTACTTTAAAATTTGCAAATAATTAGCATTTGGAAAGACCCTAGACACTTTGATATGACTTCTTTTGAGGACTAAAAGCTTGTAACTGTTGTATGCTTTTCAAAATTGAATGAATGGTGTTCCCATTCAGGCAGCCAAAATACCAGCACTGTTCAGTCAACCCCGTAGCTGTTCTGAACCTCACTTTTAACAAGTTTGCCCCCCGAACAGGGATATTGACAGATGGGAAGAACCACCAACATAGGGCTGGATAGCTCGGTTGGTAGAGCACTGGTACGGTGTTCCAGAGGTCGTAGGTTCAAATCCCACTCCACTCAATTTCTTTGTTCATTTTTATAATTTTTTTCGTTGACCAAATTCTGTGCGCATTTTGTATTTTCCAAGGTGCACATCCACATTGCCAGAGCATTAGAAAAAAGTCTTTTACTTAAAATTATCACAAACCTGCAAGTGGAAAATTGTTGGCTCAGTGTTGAAAGGTCATTACTGCAAAACGTAATTTTTGAAAACACTCGAAAGGCCTTACTCTGTGCACGAAAGAAATGTTTGATTTTAACAGTTTTTTTATTTTTTAGTCATAAAAACTAGTTTTTTTGCGGCCAACATGTCTAATTTTAACCAATTCTCTTTTCAAAATTAATGTCTAAAACAATATTTTTCACTAAACACCTTTTAGTGCATTCTAAGGACCTTTC